GGAAAGAGAGAAAGCTACCCTTTTGAGAGATGAAATGGAAGCTTCCTCAGCAATGGCCTCCAAGAGTCGGAAGATTAAGAGGGGGCAACAGCACATGCCATCGGCTGAGCCAGGAGAGTACTCTCCTCCTCCCATGGGCCAACAGTCATCATTGTATGAGGGGAAAGACCGGAAAAACAGCATGATTCTTCAACATGGAGGAGGTTATTTAGAAGAGCCCGGCATAAGGCTTCACGGTAAAGAAGTTATGAGCAAGATGGCTCGTCGTGATCCTGACCCGTATCCTTTTGCTAAACTCTGCGTATATATATATATATATATATCAGGTTTCCATGCTATACATTGATTTTGACACTCGGTTTTTTTTCCTCCAAATGTAGCGATTTCCTTGACCCTTTTTATAGGATGTATGACCGCGAGTGGGAAGAAGAGAAGAGGCGGAAGCGGAGAGATCGGAAGTAAACTCGGGGAAAGAGAAAAGCTTCAATGCTCTGGTTTTTATACGTTGGGTGTGCAAAAATTGTGTAACCATTCCCAGCCCCAGACAGAGGAGACCAGACGAATTTAAAAAAAAAAAACACGGGGGAAGTTTTTGCATGTATGTCTCTGTTTTTAAGTTTGTCTGCAGCTTATTCCTTTGTGTACACTAATAATAATGCCTAGACATTAGACAGAGAGAGAGAGAGAGAGAGTTGAAGAGCAAGAGAATGTGTAGTTTCTGTTTTCTTTTTTCATGTTAACTAATGAAATTAGGATCATAGATATCTGTTTGTAATATTTGCACAATCAGATTCAGGCTTGTAATCACTGGTCTGCCTCTGCCGTAACGATTGTGAACGTCTTTTATGCGTTTGTTGACGACTGTGATTTTTTGCAATTAAAAGAATGATTGATTGGTAATTGTCACGGTAGCAATTTTTAAATTATTTAAGGTATCATTATATGAATACTAATATTTAATGGACGAGCACGGATGCATTGAGAGACGGAGACGGCATTGGGAAATGGGGAATCAGTATCAGATTCTGTCAAATGGATTCCAATTTTACTAAATTATAATTTCATTCAAATAAAAAAGTTTCAACATTATCGTATGCATTTGCATTTTACAAAAAAGAAGAATCTTTTCGAGGGAAAACTTTGATTTCAGAAAATATTTGGAAATACAGCCAAAGCTTTCGAGTTTTTTCTAAGATAAACATTTGCCTTATACGCATATATATATATATACACACACACAGAATATCTAACAAATATTTTGAATATAAAACAGAAAAAAAAGACACCTAACTTTTAATTTTACTGATTTCGATTTTAAAGCTTTCATATTGAAAATTACTTTTTTTCTTTAATAATAGAGAAGGTGGGTGTAACAGAAAATTGCAATAATTCACAAGTTGTCGTATGTAATATTCCAAAATAATTGCAATAATTCACACCAAATTCCCATCATCCGGAGAAAAACATACGCTGGCCTGGCCCCACCGTGTTGCGCGTCCACCTCGCCACTCCATTGAACGCATCGCAACCGTTGGATCATCACGAAAGTTTTGTTTATTTATTTAATTTCATGGTTATGTAAATGGAAATTGATTTTTTTATTTATTTGCTTTGGAGCCACGTGGCAATGGAAGTGAAACACGTGTATTGAAACAGCTTTACAAATGCCACACGTTACATTCAACACTTTTTCTTTTTGTTGCCATCTACACACACACGCGAACGCATTCACTCTGAGGTTGAAGAAGATACAGCCGATACAGCTATGGCGAAATTGCCTCCCAAAGGCATTCTCAAGTCTGATGCTCTCAAGGAGGTTTCTCTCTCTCTCTCTCTCTCTCTCTCTCTCGATTTCTTGTGTCCGAAAGGTTCTTGATTTAGAGACCGAGAGCCTAAAGGGTTTTGGTTAATCTGCAGATTCTTAAACAGTTAGGAGTGGATATGTTCTTGATTAGAGATCAAGAAAGTAAATGAATGAATATACCAAATGGAGTTTATTATTAGGAGTGTATGTTTATGGCAAATTAAGGTAACTTTGATGCTAAATTAATAAGGTTGAATCCTTTGGTTTTGGATCTTTAGGAAGTGTGCATGTTAGGACATCTACCGACGACATAATTAGCATAAAATATATACACGTCCAAATTCTAATGTCAGATACCTTAATTACGTCTAATAATTGCCATTATTATAACATTCCTCATTTAATGATCGAATAATACTAAATGAGGAAAGTTGCGTACATGTAACGACAGTACATCCACAAGACCAATGCATATCCGAGGGAGCACGAACAGCTCAAGAAACTCAGAGAAGCCACGGTCGTCAAATATGGAAATTTGTAAGTCGCCGTCCCTTTTGCTTCCTGACTCCGACGGCCGACCGAGTTTCGTGGCTCGTGACTCGGCCCCTATAAAATTGACAGGCGAACGAGTCGAACTCGTGAGCCGTATGATCTAATTCTTTTCCTAAATCTATTATCGAAAGAAATGACTTAAAATAAAACTTGTAGATACGGACGGGAAAATGTTGATTATTAACTAAAAAAAGGTGCAGAAGCGAGATGGAAGTGCCGGTGGACGAGGGTCATTTCCTGTCGATGCTTGTTAAGATTATGAACGCCAAAAACACGATAGAGATCGGCGTTTTCACCGGCTATTCTTTGCTCGCAACCGCCCTCGCATTACCCGATGATGGCCGCGTACGTTTCTCTTCTCTCCCTCTCTTTTTAGATCGAATGATTCTAGTTGTTTTCAAAACCGAAATAACAGAATCCGAATATACACGACTAAATCGGAACCCGAATTGAAACCCAAAATGAACATTGCTAACGGAGTTTTGATGCCTCGACGACAAATTTACGAAATCGGTGCAGATTACGGGAATAGATACCGAGATCGAAGGTTACGAAATGGGACTAGAATTCATAAGAAATGCAGGAGTGGATCACAAGATCAACTTCATTCACTCGCCCGCTCTCCCCATCTTGGACCAAATGTTGAACCATGTAAGTGAATGAACACAAACCCTTTTACATTATTAGTATATTTGAATAACACTTTGTAACGTTATTAGTGTCCGAAATTGTCGGGTAATCGACTAAAACGATAAATCACCGCAGGAGAAACGGGAGGAGTTCGACTTTGCGTTTGTGGACGCCGACAAGTCGAACTACCTGAACTACCACGAGAGGCTGATGAAACTGGTGAAGGTCGGGGGAATGATTGCGTACGATAACACGTTGTCGTTCGGGTTCGTGGCCGAGGACGAGGGCCAGGTGCCGGAGCACATGAGGGAATTTAGGAGGGACATAATGGAATTCAACAAGGTTCTTGCCTCGGATACTCGCGTCGAGGTCTCGCAGGTCTCCATCGGCGATGGTGTCACTCTCTGCAGACGGATCGTTTGATGAGTAATATCCTCGTTGAGTTCAGTTCAGTTCAGTAATAAAATTTCAATGGCTTTCTTCTTCTTCTGTTCCGAGACAATGGGAAGGGTTTTTAGTTGTGTTTTGAGGTTGTAAGAAATAAATAAATGGATTTGGTTTTTCCTTTTTGCATGTGTGTTCAATGTTATATATGGTTTAGATCTCATTCATTTGCAGAGTTGCATTTTACCAACTACGCAACATTTAAAATTAAATTTTAGTGATATAAGGGACAATAATTATTTGTATTCTACCATTTATTGATTGATAGATTCTTTTTATTGCAAATTGTTACAAATTTAAAGCATTTGAAAAAATGATAAAAATGTAAAAATAAAAATAAAAACCTTTTAAAAAGGAAAAAAAATATCATCCAACCTTACAAAACCAAAATAATGATATGCTTGGTCATTTTGGTTGGTGATTACTTTTCCAAATATTTTAACTTTGATTTTTGGAAGAGCAATCATAATTACAAGAAGTAAACACTATTAAAAAGTTAATCCCACCCACAAGTGGACTGACACTATGGCTTCCACTTCATCAATTAATTATCCTTTAATTTTTTTAATTCATCTATAAATTACTTAAAATCTAAACTAATTTCTTAACTAAGACATTTTATTCTGAAAAAAAATATTAAGGCGTTTTCTTAAATTAAAAGAGAAGATTATTATGGATAGAATTAGAGAATACTGGATGGATAGTTTAATTCTCTTTTCAGATATTTTTATGCATAGTTAGGATCCTAATTAATTGCATAATTATTCTTTAAATTATGTTTACTAATTAAAAATTAGTATTTTTAATTGGAGTACTTACTGCCTTGATGTGACCCTATCAACCAATAATTTAGATCTTGTTGGCTATTGTTTATGTTATCCTTGTAAATTGTATGAGCTTATATAATGCTACTTTTTTTTTTATTTTGTTTGGAATTATTTTCCAATAATAAATTAGTATTTAAGGGCGAATCTAAGAGGATTATTTATTAGTGATAATTATGAAGTTAATTATTTTCCAAAATGACGACACGTAGAACGTTTGACAACCTGCAAGATTAGATCACAGTGCGACACGTGAAAATCTTTGTGGGCCCCATTTTCCACACGGCAACAAACCGACGGATAAGATCAAAGGCAAAATCAGGTACGAGAGATGTTACGCTACATCCAAGTCTACGTGCACCTCATCTGATCGAACGGTCTTAAAAAGAATATATCTTATAGGTTCTCTCTTGTCTTTTGTGAAGAATTTGAAAACTTAGGCCGAGGAATTCAAAGAGTGAATATACAGGCATACGAACACAAATATACTTACATATATATATATATGTATATGCATACCAGCGCAAGTGATTTTCGAATCTATTCCTCTTCCTATTTTCTTTGGGGGTGTAACGTTGAAGCTTTCGTCTTGTGAAACTTGTATTCTTCAATCCCGTCTTTTCCCCGTCTGTCATCACAAAACAACATCTTCTTTTTGCAGAAACTTCATCTGGGTGGGGTGTATTTCTCTATCTGTTCTTCAACCTCTGCCTGAGGCAACATTTCCCAGCTTCGTCGTCCAGTTTGGGTCTCCTCTCTTGTTTCTTGGGGCTAAAACCTCAAAGGGCACTTCCAGTTTCTCTCAAAATCTCCCCTTTCCTCTTGCGCCTTGAATCTTTCTCTGTCTAGAAATTTGCTGTTACTGGTTAGGTCACTGAAAGAAGTAAGAAATGGTCTCGAGATCGTACTCGAATCTACTGGACCTTGCCTCCGGTGATTCGCCGTCTTTCGGCCGCATGAGCCGAGGGATTCCCCGGATCATGACGGTCGCCGGGTTCATGTCCAATATCGATGACGACCCAGCAGAGAGTGCAAGCTCTGATCCCTCGTCTTCCACAGCCCACAAGGACCGTTTGATCATAGTAGCCAATCAGCTTCCGATTCGGGCGCAGAAGAGATCGGATAAATCCAGTACCAGCAGCAGTAACAATGGTGGCGGTTGCAGAAACTGGATCTTTAATTGGGATGAGAACTCGTTGCTTCTGCAATTGAAAGATGCGTTAGGAAAAGAAGACATCGATGTTCTTTACGTGGGTTGTCTGAAAGATGAAATCCATCCTAATGATCAGGAAGAAGTATCTCAAATCCTTGTAGAGACATTCAAATGTGTGCCCACGTTCTTACCAACTGACCTTTATAGCCGTTACTATCACGGGTTCTGTAAGCAGCACCTGTGGCCTCTCTTTCATTACATGCTGCCTCTGTCACCGGATCTCAGCGGGAGATTCAACCGGAATCAATGGCAAGCTTATGTCTCCGTGAACAAGATTTTTGCCGATAGGATCATGGAAGTGATCAACCCTGAGGATGATTTCGTGTGGATACACGATTACCACCTTATGGTATTACCCACATTCTTACGGAAGAGGTTCAATAGGGTCAAGCTCGGTTTCTTCCTCCACAGCCCGTTCCCGTCTTCGGAAATCTACAAGACTCTGCCGGTTAGAGAGGATGTTCTCCGGGCTTTGCTCAACGCGGATTTGATAGGATTCCATACTTTTGACTATGCCCGACATTTCCTGTCCTGCTGTAGCCGAATGCTCGGTCTTACTTATGAATCCAAGAGAGGGTACATTGGACTCGAGTACTACGGTAGAACCGTTAGTATCAAGATTCTTCCGGTGGGAATCCACATGGGTCAGCTTCAGTCAGTGTTGAGGCTGTCAGAGACCGAAGCCAAAGTTGCCGAGCTTATCCAACAGTATTGTCGGAAAGGCAGAATAATGTTGCTTGGAGTGGACGACATGGACATTTTCAAAGGAATAAGTCTGAAGCTGTTAGCTCTGGAGCAGCTCCTTATGCAACATCCAGAATGGCAAGGGAAGGTTGTGTTGGTGCAGATAGCAAATCCTGCGAGGGGGAAAGGAAAAGATGTAAAAGAAGTGCAGGCTGAAACACATTCTACCGTTCGAAGAATTAACGAGACATTTGGAAGGCCCGGGTATGATCCTGTAGTATTGATTGATGCCCCGCTTAAGTTCTACGAAAGGGTTGCTTATTATGTCGTGGCTGAATGCTGTTTGGTAACAGCAGTTAGGGACGGAATGAATCTCATACCTTATGAATACATAATCTCCCGTCAAGGGAACGAGAAATTGGACAAGATTCTAAGTTTGGAACCAAATACTCACAAGAAAAGCATGTTGGTGGTTTCTGAATTCATCGGTTGCTCGCCATCGCTTAGTGGAGCCATTCGCGTCAATCCATGGAATGTCGATGCAGTAGCCGATGCAATGGACACCGCCCTAGAATTATCTGAACCCGAAAAGCAGCTTAGACATGAGAAACATTATAAATATGTAAGCACACATGATGTCGGATACTGGGCTCGCAGTTTCCTCCAAGATCTCGAAAGGAGTTGCGCTGACCACGGAAGAAGGAGGTGTTGGGGGATCGGGTTTGGTCTCAGTTTCCGGGTCGTGGCACTCGATCAATCCTTCCGGAAGTTGTCGATGGAACACATAGTCTCGGCTTATAAGAGGACAAAGACTCGGGCCATTCTTTTGGATTATGATGGCACGTTGATGCCACAGGGTTCTATCGATAAAAGACCATCTCCAAGGTCTATCAATATATTGAACACCTTGTGCAGAGACAGGAGCAACCTTGTATTCATAGTCAGTGCTAAAAGCCGAGAAACACTCTCTGACTGGTTTTTTCAGTGTGAGAAGCTTGCAATTGCTGCTGAACATGGCTACTTTCTGAGGTAATTACGGGAATTGACCTCAACTGCTATTTGTTCCCTTCCACATCTTCGTATTCTATGCAGTTTGATCCATTTTGTCCTCACAAATGTGTTATGACAAATATACAGGCTGAGGAGGGAAGCAGAATGGGAAATGTGTGTGCCGGTGGCAGATTGCTCTTGGAAGCAAATCGCAGAGCCTGTGATGCAGCTTTACACCGAGACAACTGATGGATCAACAATTGAAGACAAGGAGACAGCTCTTGTTTGGAGCTTTGAGGATGCCGACCCAGATTTCGGCTCATGCCAGGCTAAGGAACTTCTTGATCATCTTGAAAGTGTTCTTGCCAATGAACCAGTCACAGTCAAACGAGGACAAACTTTCGTGGAGGTCAAACCACAGGTTCGTAACCACTGTTCAGACCCAAAAATTGTCACTTCTCTGTTTGGTTGCACTATTTCTGAGTTACCTTCTTGTTCCAACCACAGGGTGTGAACAAAGGTCTTATAGCGGGAAGGTTGCTTTCGACAATGCAAGGAAGAGGAACATTGCCCGACTTTGTTCTGTGCATAGGAGATGACCGGTCTGATGAGGACATGTTTGAGGTGATCACTACCTCCATTGAAGGCCCTTCTATTGCCCCAAATGCCGAAGTATTTGCTTGTACTGTCGGTCAGAAGCCCAGCAAGGCCAAGTACTACTTAGATGACACGACAGAGATTGTCAGGTTAATGCAAGGGTTGGCTTCAGTTTCAGACGAGTTTGCTCCCATCTAAAATTACAACGGAGGAAGCAAAAAGCAAAAACGTTTTTCCCCTTGTCTCCATCACCAGTTCCTCTCGTGTTTCTTGAAGTACTATAGAGAGTGTAATCAAGAGATGCTGTATTATGTATGCTTTTATTCTGATATTGCGAGCTATAGCTCGTAAAGAGCTCGGTTCCATAGTTTCAGCTCGCCGTGTCCTCACTCTCCAAACCCCAAACCATTGAGCTTTTGCTTCACACCTCTTCTCAGTGAATCTGTAGTTGTCGACCAGTAGGTTCTGTCCAATTTTGTGTAAACTGCTTACATCATATTCGGCTAAGGATATGCCTGCCCCCCGCATCTAGAATGTACCCAAACATGTGATAATTTATGTGTGATGAAAACTGACGATTGTGATGAGATCCAAAGCTAAAAAAAGATGCGAACTTGTTAAACTTGCTGACCTGCAAACTGGTACTTTCAATTCAGCCACAGGAATCATCCTCAATGTTGGTGGCTTGAAGGAACTTGATTTCCAGATCTTGCCTTCTCTTTAAGCCTCCTCGAGTTTACCAGATGAAGAAAGCTAACTAGTTTCTTCTTTGCTTCAGTGACTTGACCTTTGAATTTGAGATACTTTGAAGAATTGAGGGCGTAAGCACAGAGAGGGCAGTAGAAGTTACCGTCATCGTATGTTGGATGAGAATCCAAGCATTTCTCATGAATCATAACTGGACATCCCTCATTAGAACAAAACAACAGCTTGCCACCTCCATTGCACTGTTTGCATGAGTATCTATTTGGTGAGGGGCTCGACAAGTGACCGTCAATGTCCTCGTATTGGATCGGGTTCATGCTGTTCACTGCAAGGGCATCATAAACACCGTCCATTTCTGTCTGATCTTTGTTCTTTTCTTGATCTTTACTTCCTTCAGCTTCAATTGAAGGGTATTCTCCCAAAACTTTTACTGCATCAGTGCTAAAATTGATCTCATTCGCCATTTCTACAGGTAAAATATCAATGTCATGAGATGCTTCTGTTTGACCATTTCTGTTATCAACATGGCTTGTCCCCTGCTGCGGCTCCCCTGGAGCCATAAATTCGCTTTGATCATATGCAGTAGATCTGCTCACCTCCATTCTTTCCTCTTGGTTATTGGAATGGTCAAAGCATTCTTTAGCCTCTGTAGTACACACATCAACATTGTCTACAGTGGCCTCTGCTGGATCCAGCTTAGCTTCCTTGGCTTTTGCACGGAAAATGTCATCAACTATGGAGGTACCTTGATTTCCATCCTCATTTTCTTCGAAGGTATCTGGTATTACATTACATAAATCTGTTTGTCCGAATGAAGTTCCATTTTCATCTGCCACTACTCCAACTCCATATCCAGGGCCCTGACCAAACGAAGTTCCCTCTCCATTCATTCTCCCATCAATATTTTCACCAGCAAGTGCAACTTGGTTGTTTTTGTCGCCATCAGTTCCCATTGTCTCTTCCCCACAACTGGGAAGAACTCCAGTACTCTTCTTACGTGAAGCCTCTCTCAGCTGATCATACAAAGAATATACAAATATGAACTTTCAGAAAAAACCTTTTGTCCTCCTTGGGTGGGAACTTCAATTAATGGAAAGAGCCTATACCAGTTCCAAAGTGCATTTTGGCAGGCAAAGTCTCTTGTTTTCAATGAATGGTAGAGGATTCCATTTTAATAATTCCGGTGCACCTGGTTTCAGGTTCAACAAGGGTATCTGGGAAAAAGAAAACTCTAGCAATCTTAGTGGACAGAATAAAGTGCATCATGACAATGACCATCTGCAAAATGTCTTAACCTAAAATTAAAGGAACGGGAAAACAGGATTGGCTAAAGATGACCTTAATTTTACCTCATCCAGGATACATTGGAGAACATATACACAGCTCTCAGATAAATCGAACTCAACTTTTGACCCAACACCAGAAGCAACATTGTTGTTCTGTCCAGGACTAGGATCAAACAAATAAGCCAAGCATCTGAAAGCCACCATCTCGTTCGTATGTTCACCTAGATCATCTGGAACTTTAGGACCCATTTCAAAGATATCTGCAAGAAAACCAAAACAGAAAAAGAAGAAATCCCTGAAGCCTGACATTTAAATCCAGAAGCTCATTCAAAGGGAAAACAGAAAGAAACATCCCAACTGGTCTAAAATCCCATTACCGTGCAGCATCCAGAGCTCCTTCTTAAATTTTGCCAAGTATTCAATAATCCAAATCCAGATATCAACGTCTGAATTGCCAGTCACCATGCGCTCCATCAACCTATCTGAGTAAGATAATCTTTGCGGATGGTCGGAAAATGCATAATCATCTTCTCCAACCTCTACGTTTGACTTGCTGAAAGATGTATAACCAACTGAAAGCTCTGTTGTGGAATTGCACTGTGCAGGCATCTTACCGGAAGGAATCTCCATCCCGAATGGCCGCCAGCAGGGACTTTACCGATCAAAGGCGCTATCAACAGGTAACATGATAAAACACTCATTACTATAATCAGATTCGCATATCAACTGTAATTCATCTTAACTTCATATACTGAACAAAGAAATCTGACCATGACAAATCACATCCCGCAATTAAACCAACACCCAACCAAAACCCTAGCCGCTGAAGCAAGTAAACGTGAAAAATGAAGAAACCACTATGATACGATCAACATGGAAATCTGGAACGAGACTCAACGTCTCCTTCTTCGCTCTTTTCCTCTCGCCCATTTGGTGACCAGATTTTCACACTGACGTTATAATATCCCCGTTTAACATAGACGATCAGTTTCCTTGAAAGGTTAAAAGATTTTCCCGAGAGCCAAACAGAAAACGATAATTTCGGGAGACAATGCAAACCTGGGTAAAGCAGCAATGGTGGTAACAGCGAAATCAAGTGAGACCGCCTATTCGGGATTTCGAAGCACCTGGAGAAAATCGCCATTGGTGTACACGGAGAGAAGCTTCATGAGGAAGAATCCGCCAAGCCCAAATCATATAACAGGCCTGTAATATTTTAGCCCACATTGGTAACCCAACCAAACAAGTCCATTTGCTTTTCTTTTCCTTTTCTGATTTTATTGTCCAAATAATTACGAAATAGTCCTTTTATATTGAACAGAAACATTCTAAATAAGTCTTAGAATTCAACATTTTTTTAGTTTTATTTTTTAATTTAAATATGAATAAAAAAGAAATATAAATAAATATTTTGACGGCTAATTTAAAGATATGATTTTAAAAATTCTTATCGAGGTATTTTGAATCTCTTGATTTAGTATTTGACCGTTAGTGCACATGCAGCATCTCCTTTGAAGCCCAAAGACTAAAAGTATGTATTGGGGGATCAAAACTCAAAAGCTTAGTATATGATTTAATTAATTGGATGGTCGTACGACTTATTAGCAACATTGATGAATATTTAAATTCCAATTTAAGGAATTGACTTTTTTCTATAAAAAAAATTATATATTTATTGTACTATTAAGTTATATAGGTGGACCACTAAATATTATTTCGGAATATTAGTTTCTAGCTTAATTAACCTTAACTAAACCTATCGTAGTAGGTTGTGATATTGATTTTCAGTTAAGATTCTACCTATATCAACCTTGAATTTCTTTAATGAATTTCATTCATTTAAATGCTGGGAGATAGTGGGGGATCTGATGCAAAAAATGACATATATTATAATTCCGAAATCATTTTACGACTAATGATGTTTTGAATTTTCCTACCAACTTTTAATGATAAATTATAATATATTTATGCATTTTCTAAATACTGAGATAATTATATTAACATTTAAAAGGAGAATAATTAATTGAGTAATTTAACAATTTCCAAGTTTGCCAATAAAAAAAAATATTGTCTATTTAAAGAAGAAAAATGGTGTGTTAGAATTTTTGGCAAAACAAACTCTCTCTCTACCTTGTTATGGCGTTGGTTTATTGGTTCCATACCCAATTTACATCCGATTATGAAATTTCGGTTCGGTTATGTTTTTAATTTGTGTCAATAATAACAATAACAATGATTGACTGATCAACTTATTCAAACAAGGGGTTAAGGTAAAATATTATATCTTAGTCGCTATTATATGGTGTAATAACAACAAAAAATGATAATGAATGATGATAACTAATAAACTATAGCCTATAGGTACGAATAATGACATTATTGTAAAAAAAAGTGTTGATATATTATAACCCCTATATGGTACGTGCATGGGCTATATAAGGAGCCCGAGGGATCCTCTCCTTCCACAACCACATAGAGAGCAGCAAAATCAAAAACCGCTTCAAGATTTGAAATGGGAAAAGAGATTGTGGTCACTTCACTTCCCATGGTTGGGGGAGATGGCCCCTTCAGCTACTCCAAAAACTCCCAAATGCAGGTCTCATATATACATACATACATACATATATATATATATATATATATATGTATTGTTATTTCTTTTATTAGTTTTCTTTCTTGGCATGATTATCATGGCTTCACTAGGAAATTGTTTGAATTTTTATTATTCGATATATTTTCGGAGTATTAATTTGAGTAATAAATAAATATAATAATATATTGAACAAATGAGGTATTTATTTTTCAATCTTTTAGCGGGAATGTTAGTTCTTTGGGTTTGATCTATTGTCACCAACAACGACGAACCACTGACATATTTAAAGGACTGTAGATTATTTGTTTTCAATGAAGAGTTTCGTTTTGAATTAGAGGCTTTGGTGCCAATCTCCGAAGGAACTTATTCATTTGTCATATAACATATTACATTAAACCAATGGTATATTAATTGTAAAATCAAAAGAATATTAATTCCTCCTCTAAGTGTGCGAGTTTATATATATATATATATGTGTGTGTGTGTTGATTTACCGTTCTGTCTTGTGAGCATTTTTTTGATTAATTAAACTGTGTGATTTGATTTAAGAACGTGATCACTTGATTATGAATAAACAAGTTGATTAGGGATACAATTGGCTGGCCAATTAGGCCAATCGTAAAGGAATATGATTGATCTTATTACATCATCTCTGACGAATACATTCTAATTAATTAATTATTAAAATTTCGGTTTCATGTTATACCACTGTTATTTTCCGAAATTTCTATTACAACTGTATATATTAAAGGCCTATAAAAATCTCATTTCGCCTCTTTTAAACGTCATGTTGAGAGGAATTAAATAAAAAAAAAATTGTTATATCAAATTATATGGTCTGTCCCGCATCAATTAATATATATTTTGTCAAGGACTACGTCCGTGGGTTCACATTAATTTCGTATGTAAATAGATATAGGACATGCCAGATGCTAGTTTATATACTCATTACGACAAAGATTCTTTGTCAAGTTGAACATAATCTATATCTATCTTTCACTCGTAGAATATATATACATATATATATATATGTATGTATATTAGTAGTAGTATAGTAGGATTGGGATGAGAAGCTAATTTGCGTAAAATTAATGAAAGATAATGTCAATTTTTGTACGATAAAATCAATATATTGCTTTCTATTTTTCTTTTGTTAGTGAAGCTAGCTAACAATAATCTTTTCTAGCTTGGTCCCTTGTCTTATCCATTAGTAAATTGTTTTGTGCAATTATAACAATTTCCACCCGGCCGGGACATTTCCTATCTATTATCCATTATTTGATAGACTAATCCTTCCTATTGTAAAGCATATATATATATATATATATATATATATAACACAGTCCATTTCTTTAGGACATTTATTTATTTATTTATTTTGTAACTGTAAATGTCATATATATGCAAACTGTTCTTACATCTGTTGGGAATTCTTTTTTTTTTTTGCTTATTAGGACTTTTTTTTTTTTTGGTTTAGAATCTGTCGGGGTATTTGAGGCCAACTCATGTTTTGATATTTTTTTTTCTCTTTACCATATTTGCAGAGACGAACATCAAATCTATTAAAGGACAGGATCGAAAAACTGATAATGGAGAAACTCGATGTCGAAACCCTAATTTCACGATCGAACAACACCATCTGCGTAGCAGATTTGGGTTGTGCCACTGGACCAAACACATTCCTCCACGTCGAAAACATCATAAAATCCATCAAATCGAACTTAGAATCAAGATCCGACAAATACCCATCTCCCGAATTCCTGGTCTTCTTCAACGACCTCCCTTCCAATGATTTCAACACTCTCTTCACTGCGCTCCCGCAAGACAGGAGCTACTTCGCCGTGGGAGTTCCGGGCTCGTTTTACAGCAGATTACTGCCGGAATCGACCGTACACGTGGCCGTGGCACTCGCCTCCACGCACTGGCTGTCACGTGTGCCGGAGGAGTTGTTGGACAAGAACTCGAAGGCTTGGAACAAAGGGAGGATCCATTACTCGAGTGCACCGGAGGAAGTGGTGAAAGCTTACGAGGATCAGTTTGGTCGGGACATGGAGGAGTTCCTGGAAGCTAGGGCTAAGGAGATTGTTCCCGGAGGTTTGGTGGTTGTCGGAATGTGCGGTATTCCTCGTGGAATCCCGTTTTCGAATCTCGCTGCTGGTATTATGTACGAAACCATGGCCGATGTTCTCCACGACATGCGTTCTGAGGTATGTATTTCTGCGATTCTCTTTGTTTGGGAAAAAAAGATAAATACGCAAAAAAGATTCAAACTTATGTGAAAATGATTAAAAATTTTAAAAATAATAATAAAAGACTCTATGCTTGGTATTTTTATTCACATTTGCGAAGAGAAGGGTCTAGGAAAGCAGTTAAGTGTATTTTATATTAGTAGGTCCAATACTTCGTTCTCTGATTGGTTGTAGCTTTGAGATTTATTCTCGAAACCCTAGCCCGTGCTGTTCAAAAGTTTATAAAAAGGAAGAAGAAGAAAGTTTTAATATTATTTTATAACTAGCAGAATCTTACCTTTAAGGATACTTTATTCATGGAACAAGCATTTATTATGTATCCAACCATAATAAATACACGTAAACAAAAATTTAACAGCGAACGATGATTGGTACTCGAAAAGTTTATATTCCTCCACAAAACGTGTTTCTACACGTCAGCTTTAGCTATTAATTCATAGCTTTTTTTTTGTTTGTAACTATGGGTAACCTGTGACTACCTACCCTTACAAACGGAGACGAACTGGCTACCACCCGCGCCTAACAGTCCCCATGGACCTCAGTCCGCCGGACCTGACCACCAGACGCGCCTAATTCATCGCTTTTCGCAAAGTTTGAAACATTATAATAGAATATATAAAACTTTACAAATTGACAATATATATCTAATGCTTATTCCATGTAAACATTATGCTAGATTCGCGTAAACAGCACGATGTGCTTGATGATTCGTTCTTTTTTTTTTTCACTTGTGAATGTGATTACGGTGTTTGCAACCAGGGTTTGGTTACCGAAGATCAAATCGATACATTCAATTTACCGATCTACCATGCCTCGCCCGAGGAAGTAAGAGATTCCGTCGAGAAGAACGGGTCTTTCACGATCGAAATCATGGAGCTTATGGATCCGTCGGCTTGGCTTAAATGGAGAATGAATTCGGAAGACGTGAGAGAATGGACAAGGTGCATAAGGGCAACAATGGGAACATTCTTCATCACGCAGTTCGGGGAATATGTCACGGAAGAAATACTCGAACGTCTCACAACTAGACTCATCGATGTCACGGACAAGCTCGAGGACAGCTACCGAGAGAAGATCATGCTGTTCTTTGCTTTGAAACGAAAATAACAAGCTTGGGAATATGTTTTTGCTGGTTTTCACCGGTTTAATCTGAACCAGTTGATTAAATGCGTGATTGTTTTCGGTTTGTTTTCGATTTGTTTCGTGTGTTTTCTTCCTTGTTGCGTGAGATATAAAGTTTTACACCAGCTTTGTTTCGTGAATAATTGTGTGTTTGAATGCTTGGAAACGTTCATCTACATACACTTACAAAAATAATATGTTAAAAATCTATAACAGATGGAGAAGATTTGAGAAGATTACGTAATATTACGTAATATTTAGATTTGGTTTTGTTTCTATATTTTAGATATTTATATTTATTAAATAAGATATTTTGTGATTCCGTTTTCTACTATAAATATTGTAATGTTCTATGTTGAATAATGTGAAATCCAATGATTCTCCACCTATTTCTCTATTATGATATCACAGTCTGATTTTTGTTCTAAATTTTTTTTTCTTATCAACAATGTTCATTGAATCCGAAAACGACGATGAAGATGATGATGACTAACTCCAATAGTATCATCACCTTGAGTGTCGTCTTGCATTCATTTTATTTTTTTTTCTAGTTTTTTTCTCGAAGGCGGTGTTTATGACTGTCAACCCTAGCGGATGTGCTATTCTTTTTTTTTCTGACGACGTTCGTTTATTGACGTCAACCCTAACCGTTGTGCGATCTTTAAATCCGACTTTTAGCCTCTCCGATCGGAATACTCCGATAGTCGATCCACGGATTTGCGCCACCTTCTTTTTTCTTTCTTTTTTCGGCTTTAGCCGCACGAATTTGCGCCACTTTTCTTTTTTTCCGGCATAGCCGCTAAACCAACGCACCTTTTGCGCCGTCGACATTATTGTTGTGTTACTCATCTTCATCACCGTGCATCTACACCACGCTTCTGTGTCACACCGAACTTTTCAGATCCGCCAATAATCCACTATTTACCCTAGTTTGATTATCAAATCCCGCTATTATTTTGAGAATTCAACCTCAAACAGTTGTTTCCCATCTCCTTGAGTTTGAGGGGTATATAAAGAGATATGGAGAATATTTGAGAAGATTACGTAATTACGTAATATTTAGATTTGGTTTTGTTTCTATATTTTAGATATTTATATTTATTAAATAAGATATTTTGTGATTCCGTTTTTTACTATGTTGTAATGTTCTATGTTGAATAATGTGAAATCCAATGATTCTCCACATATTTCCCTATTAAAAGAAAGTTTCTGATGCGCTGAAAAAATATATAAACTTGAAAATTTTTCGTTAAAAATATGATTTTTTTTAAAAAGAATTTCAAGATATCCTTTAATTTACATCAATATCGTATAAAAATACCACGTTAGAACAAAAAATTATACCATGTAAAATAGAAAACGTCATGTATTTATTCGAAAGTTTTAAAATAAATTTATTTTTCATTGTTCGTTTATTTTGTTTTATTATTTCTCCAAAAAATAAACAAATTAATCTCACTTTAATTAATCACATACATGCATATGCAACCAAAGTTGATAAACCAATGAGATAGGTGGTCCCTTATTACAGTCGACGCATTAATATGTCTCCGGAAACGAACAAGAAGAGTAGATAATTTTAAATAAGCAATTTTAAATATGATATAAGTGTTAATAAGCAAATAAATTATCACAAGATAATTTTAGTTGAACTACCAAAAATAATTTTAGATCCACGGACAAAAAAGAAAGTTATAAGTTAATACATTGTCATGACAAAAGATCACGATTCTTGGACTAGATATACGGACATGAATGGAGTCAGAAAAATGGTCTTGCCTAAAATAATATATAGTTTTCTTAAATTGAAACTAACTAATAAAATCATAGAAGTGTAGTGAAAATTAAGTTCAAAACTTTACATGGCTGTCTTTTTCAGCTTTAGAACATATTATTTATTCTCATAATTTCCCTTTAAAAAAATAAAATTCCTAAAGTCTAGTTTATTTGGAAATAACTTTTTATATGGTTTGCGGCAATTAATTATGAACAGTAGTGTTTAATTACTATAACATCCTTTTACATGTATTTGTTTTGTCATTGGATACTAGTAATGTAAAAAGAAGCTATTTTTAGGAAAATCTGCTAAAATGTTCGTTGACAATGTTAAATTTAAAAGGGTATTTTTCATATTAATTTGTGTTAAGTTCATGAAAATTAATATGCCCTTAAAATTAATATTTCATTCTTATAACCTAAACCATAATACAAGGGGAAACTAATAACATAAAAGATTACTTTTCGTATTACAAAATTTTAAAGCATTTATCATTTTACTGATGTCAAATTTAAAATTATAACTTTCACAGTTCAAAAAAAAAAGATTACTTTTCGTATTACAAAATTTTAAAGCATTTATCATTTTACTGATATCAAATTTTAAATTATATTTTCTAATTTTCTAGGAAACTAAAGAAGAATATTGAAACTTTCTAATTTCTAATTTTTTTTGTTGTTTAGTTTAACAAAAAAAATTTGTTTAATACATAAAAAAAAATCTCAGTGGGATGGTCAAGGTGATAATGATGAAGAAAAATGCTATTGAGCCAATAACCCAATCCCCCACTATACACAAAGAAAATTATTTTCCAAGAAATAACATTTTCCCCAATCCGGTGACTTTGTTCTTCAATTATGTCATGATGTTTTGAAATCCAGACCAAGTTATAATTAATAATGTCAAACCCTAATATGTCAACCTAAAGTATCTTAAAATTAAATGAACGTGATTTTTCTAAACATACTTAGAATTATAATTTCTTGTATATATATACACATACACATGTGTGTAAGTATGCGCTGAAGTACAAAATGCAAATTTTTGCTCCTTGTGTGTATATATATATATATGTGTGTGTATGTATATACTAGGTGACAAATTACCATGTGAATGCCAGATTGAAGAGAGACTAGGAAGCTAGGAGGTCGTGGCCCCTATGCATCGACCCATAGGTCTATTTCCCATATAAAAAAAAACAACCTTTTATTTAATTATTATTATTTTTCTCTTTTAAAAGATGTCTCTTTTAAGGAATCTTGCTCCCGCAAACCAAATCAGACCAAAAAAAAATGAAAAAATGAAAATTATAATTAACGCGGAACTCAAAGTATAAAAATCATATGGTATTTTTGTTTGACTTGACGTGAGGGGGGCCGGGCCTCTCCATGGGTTGTGATCTAGATTCTAGGGTTACGTACCTTCTCTGCTTCGTCTCGGGTCAAGATTTTGTATTAATATTTATTTCTTGGTATAAGATTTTGTATCAATATTAATCTTTATTTATATATATCTTCACATGTGGAACCCTAGTTCCCAATTTGTATATTCTTCTGCCCACGTTGAAGCACATGCAGTACACACCATCCTTTGTACTTGACTTATGGTGCACCATAATGGCCTCATCTAATCTAGATTTGAGGTTTAGCTAATTAAAAACAATAATTAATTTCTTTAATTTTCTTACTAATACGTATGAGAAAGGTAATTAGAAAAACCAATATGTATGGGTATTATGGAGATGGACATTATATAGAGAGTTTGAGTTTTTGTTATTATTATTTACTGTGATTTCTTTTGTATTATGAATTATACATTTTTAATTATAAAATTAGACATTCTACCGATATATAAGACTTTGGTTGTTGTAACATATATAGTACATGAAACATGACATGCAAAAGAAAACAAAAAAAAAACATATATAGTATGTGTGTGTGTATACATTAATAATATCTATGTGTGTGCGTTATGTATGGAAATCCTTGCCCGTAAGTCTCGTTCTCCGAGAAATTAATTAAACGTTAGGGTTACAGAAAAAGAGATAATGAAATCCACGGGGCTATCAAAAAGTGGACCGACCGCTGTTAAAGTAAGAGCGATGTGTTTAATGACAAGGAAACACATGCGATTTGGTGTTTGAACCTATCCTTGAAAACATTTTACGATGAAACCGGCGGTCCCAATCCTATTCTAGGGCACTATAGAGTGGACCGATCTCTCCTTCTTCACTTATCCCTTATATATATATATACATATATATATATGTATGTATGTATTCAACTTATAAAGAACCAATACACTTTTTCTCGTGTCTAGATGCGTAAGCCCAAGTTTACGATCCATATAAAATACGTTAATTGTATTAGATCTAAAACACCGATTTTTTGAAGAAAAAAAAATCATAGTGATAAGTATAAACTCTCATTAATTTGTTAAAATAGTGAATATATGGTATAGAAGATTGATATAATCTTGGTTCAAATTGTTAAGTGATTATAGAAGATTCATGTGGTTGTTCCGAATTTTATTGTGATATTATTTGTATCCAACATTAGAGCACATGAATAACTCGTAAAATGATTCGTATTAACATAATCTGTGCTTATGGATGGATTATTATCTTTAAGAAAATAATAATAATAATAATAATAATAATAATAATAGTAATAAAAGGAAAAAGAAATGATTTGTCATTAGATTTATTCATACTTTCAGTTGGTATAACCTAATGGAAATGGGCTTTTTAAAGGCCCATTTGATACTAAAAGTCTATTTCCAAATAGCATTATTGGGCCTTTAACGGGCTTTCATGGGAATATTGGTCTTTTCGGCCTATCTCGTTTTGTAATTGGGTTTTTTTAATTTGGGCTTTTTGGGCGTCATGATTTTCATATGAGAAAAACATATTATATATATCGGATTCTATTTTATGCTATGGAATCTTATATCCTTGTATGCTTAAAGTGATAAAAAAAAAATTACAATTTATATAATATACCAAAAAATGTTAAATATATCTAACCGAATCAAACCGAATATCACAATTAATGGAGTTATCAAGTCTCCACGGTATAAACTATCAATCCACCGTATATAAACTTCCACGGTTTGAAAATAACGCGGTATTCAAGATCGAATACTTACAATTCGTTTTTGCAAATATAATGGTGAGAATTTTGATTCCATATGTTTGTGAAAAATCGAAAACCCAATATCGCAAACATCTTTCACATTCATCTTAATTACGGGATTTGATTCAATAATGTGATATATGGGGTTGTTGGGCATTTATTTATTTTTATTGGAAACTAGTGGATAATCCTAGGATGTGTGTGTATGTGTGCATATATATATATATATATGTTTGTATGTATATGTATGTTTATAAATCTATATATTGGCCATGATGATTACGTAGCGACGAAAATGATCTTATTATAGTGTACGAATCTTGTAATTTTATAACGAATGATTATAAATTATGTTATAATATATGGATAGTGTCGCAACAGCCAATGATGAGAGATATCTCTCGCTTTTTTTTTTTTGCGTGAATATTTAAAATAGACCGCCGTCGTGTTTGTAATCATCAATTTACATATAGATAATGTGTTTCTCCCCTTCTCCGCAAAACCCTACGCTCTCCTCTTCTTTATTCACAAACAAATTTTTTTTGGTAATCGGATATTTTGGACTAAGATTCAGTCTAATACTCGGATCGGAAACCAATCAGGCGATTTAGAATATATGTTCTCTTTCTAAATTTAAAATTTGAATTCGGAATGGGATAGATGTTTGTATCCAATTTCACCGATTTAATTATTCAAGTTTAGGTTCGAATAATTTCTCCCTCTTTACTGCTATAAAAGTTCTACAAATATCACTTTAACTAAGATGATCATATGATGGATTTTTTTATTATTATGTTTTCGTTCAATGTTTTAAAAAAAAATCAAATCCTCATCCGGAAGTTTGATGACGTGGCAGCATCTCAGTGGCTGATTAGGTTAGATATTTTATATCTCGCCGAACACATGTCATGCACCAAACCGGCGTGGACCACGTGTTCATATTTACCCCTATATTTTCCTTTAATTACAATATTACCACCCCGCGCTATCGAACCGGGGCCGGTTTTTTCCATTCCCCACCGAAAGCCTAAAGGGCAATTTGGTATTTGTCTCTTGATCTTCAGGATATTTTAAACAACTCTAGAAAAATATCAAAGACCACTGCGTGCTTTTGTGTGAGAGAGAGAGATAAGGGGAGAAAATCTCCTCTACCGCGAAAATGACGAGCGAGAATGGAGATGAAGAGATCGGAGGTGTCGCTGGAAAAAGGAAAAGACGCGGAAGAGATGAAGAAGAAGACGGCGATGAAGAAGAAGAAGAGGGTGAAGAGGAAGGAGGAGGAGGAGACGGGAAGCTTCCACTGAAGCTGGGGATGCTCTTTTACCCGATGACGCCGCCTGCGTTTGTTGTATCTGATGCTCTAGAGCCAGATTTTCCAATAATTTATGTGAACAGGATCTTCGAGGTCTTTACAGGTTACCGAGCTGACGAAGTTCTTGGCCGAAACTGGTAATCCCTTCGATTCTCTTTACTTTGGTTTTTGATATTTATAGTTATAGTATGTTAATTCATATGGTAAGTTTAATTTTTGGCTGTTGAGAGGAATGGGAAACAAAAAATGTAGGAATTAGAAGTCCAAGTTATGAAATCTCTGTTTGGTTGATGAGGAATGCTGCATTCCACTGAAGGAAGAATTGGCCGAGATTATTTCTCTATGCTTTGTGTTGCATTCCGTTGATATTCTGTTGCCTGCAGGGACATTCTGGAAAAAAAAAAGATTCTGATATTCTCTATCTGCACTTGTTCTTTGCATCCATCTGGCTAGGAAGAAATCTTGTCTTAATAGGGTTTTGTTTGGGTTTTTTCTTTCTCAATTGTTTTGGCTTAATCAGTTGAATCTACTTTGAACAGTTCTGTTTGGTTGGCAAGAATATTTGAAAAGGAAGGCAGAGAGTTGGGTTTTTGGCTTTGAACTATTCTATGCTTGGTTGATGAAGAAAGCTAGCATTTTGGCTGGAGAAGAAGATTAGTGGTGATACATTCTTGTAGTGGTACTTCTTACAATGATCTGTTCTCTCTGATAAGTTGAGATTATCTTGAGAACGTGTATTAGCTTATCGGATATCAATTGCTTGTTTCTGAGTTGAGCTCGCTCTTCCGCAAAAAATATACCGTTTATATTTTTTTTTTGTTTCCAGTCGATTCTTACAGTACAGAGACCCTCGTGCTCAGAGGCGTCACCCATTGGTGGATCCTGTGGTTGTATCTGAGATTAGAACATGTCTTGAAAAAGGTGTTAAATTCCAAGGCGAGCTTCTCAATTTCAGGAAGGATGGCACTCCACTGGTGAACCGGCTACAGCTTGCCCCAATACATGATGATGATGGAACCGTTACCCACATTATCGGTATACAAGTGTTCTCTGAAGCAACTATAGATGTCAACCGTGTGTCGTATCCTGTCTTCAAAGAGACCTGCAACCAACAATTCGATCAGACATCCCGATCCCTTTCTCCAGGTGGACTCTTGACTTTCAGACAGCAGCAAGATGTCTGTGGGATATTACAGCTTTCCGACGAAGTCTTGGCACATAACATCTTATCACGCTTGACTCCAAGGGACGTTGCTTCCATCGGATCTGCTTGCAGGAGGATTCGCCAATTGACGAAAAACGAGAGCGTGAGGAAGATAGTGTGTCAAAACGCCTGGGGAAAGGAGATCACCAGAACCCTTGAGATTATGACAAAGAAGCTTGGCTGGGGCCGCCTAGCAAGGGAACTCACCACACTTGAAGCCGTTTGTTGGAGGAAATTCACCGTCAGAGGATCAGTAGAACCTTCACGTTGCAACTTCAGTGCATGTGCTGTGGGGAACCGGCTAGTGTTGTTTGGTGGGGAAGGAGTAGATATGCAGCCAATGGACGACACCTTTGTTCTAAATCTGGATTCTGAGTATCCCGAGTGGCAACGGGTCAGGGTGAAATCATCGCCACCGGGACGTTGGGGTCACACTCTCTCATGCCTCAACGAGTCATGGCTGGTAGTCTTTGGAGGAATTGGAAGACAGGGATTGCTTAATGATGTGTTTGTGCTCGATCTAGATGCAAAGCAGCCGACATGGAAGGAAGTTTCCGGTGGTACTCCTCCTCTCCCGAGATCTTGGCACAGCTCTTGCACGATCGAAGGTTCTAAACTGGTTGTGTCAGGCGGATGCACAGATGCCGGGGTGCTTCTGAGCGACACATTTTTGTTGGATCTGACAACGGATAAGCCAGCGTGGAGAGAGATCCCGACATCATGGGCTCCCCCATCGAGACTTGGACATTCTCTCTCAGTCTTTGGCCGCACCAAAATCCTCATGTTTGGTGGGCTTGCAAAGAGCGGGCATCTGAAGCTACGGTCGGGTGAGACATACACTATAGACTTAGAAGACGAATACCCGAGATGGAGACAACTCGAGTTTAGCCCGTTTGCCGATATTGGCAGCCAAAGAATGGTGGTTCCGCCTCCAAGACTCGACCATGTAGCCGTAAGCATGCCTTGTGGGAGGGTAATCATATTCGGAGGGTCTATTTCCGGGCTTCACTCTCCATCGCAGCTTTTCCTTTTAGACCCTTTGGAAGAGAAACCGTCATGGAGGATACTCAATGTACCGGGCCAACCGCCGAAGTTTGCGTGGGGACATAGCACGTGTGTAGTTGGAGGGACAAGAGTACTGGTCCTGGGTGGTCACACTGGTGAGGAGTGGATCCTCAACGAGTTACATGAACTGTGTTTGGCAAGTCGACAAGACTCGGATCTGTAAGAGACTGGCTTCTATAAGCTTGGTAATGTTACGGTATTGTGTGTGTTTTTTTGTTACTGGTTCATTCAGTATCTATGAAATAATAATATAAAAAAAAAACACACAAACAGGGAAA